GAAGTGTTCCAGCAAACTTGTCTATTTGACAGAGATCGAAGTAAGCCATAACTGTTGTTTTAGGAGGGTTCAGAAGCTTCCCCGATAAGTTTTCCTCAGTGAAATAAACCCTTTGGCCTTTTCTAGGTGAATTGATAAGTGGACTACTGTGGGGCTTCTGTCATGAATGGGAAAATAAAGAATTCGCCAGAGCTTCTGACGTGCTGATGTATCGGCCTGTTTGATACCATTCAATTTTATCATCATTTTTGACAGCCAAGGCTGCCTGATCACTCCCTTTGTTAATATACTTGCAGACATATTTAATCGATTTTACAGAGTTACAAAACTCTACATTTATATGTGCATTGAAGGAGACTGACAATAATGGACAATAGGGCACAATCCACATGTTGTCAACAATGACAACACCCCCTTTAGATCTGATTTGTACAGAAAGCCCTCCATCTTCTGGTGACCGGCGTCTGTATGTGGGGTAGCCATCCTCTCCTGTCCTGGTCTCTTTCGTACATGGCCGAAGATATCGTTTTGAACATTTTCCGTCTTGCAAGCAGTGGGAGGCTTGGTTGAAATTACCGCAGGGTCCATGAATCATGTTTTTGACGATGATATAATGCAGTGCTGGGTCAGAGGTGGGATGTGGCAGCGCAGCACTTATGAAGGAGTCGATTTCATTTGTGGGAATTTTTATTTCCAACCACAACAAGATATGGACGTGTGGAAGTCCTCTCTTGTGCCACTCAATAGTGTACATGTAACAGATTGTTGTTCCAAATTCTTTAGTTTTCGTTAATAATTTCACAAGGCATATAACTTTCAGCCTGAACACTACAAATTATGTCATGTCTGTCGTGTGGCTTTTGTCCTTGCAACAACATGTCGGTTATTTCAGGCCATTTAGGGTTACATGTGAAGGTTATGAAAAGATCGGGGCGACTGTACTATCTCACATAGGTCATGGCATCTTGGGTCCGCTCATGCATATACCTCGGACCTCCAGTGAAAGATGAGGGAAGAATGACCATTTGACCTATGTCCTGAACATTGGCATCTCTGTGAACTGCATCCTTTAGATGTATGTAATAATCTGTAGCTTCTTCTGATTGTTTCTAGTAAAAGAAAGGCGTTCCGTTTAAATTTTTTCGTACATATAAACCCTCTATTGATTTAAAAGTTGCCTGAAAAGATGTAAATAAATAATTTGGTCTGATATTATCATCAACCTGCAAGCATAAAAATGCATCGCAGAGACAGTTTTTGTTCGTTATTTTGCTTGGTATTACGATTGAACTGTGGAATGTTAATACAGTATCCGTCCTCACCTCTGGGAAACAGCAGTGGGTACTGAAGATCATCTTATGATCGATTAACTTCTGAAACTCGGTGCAAGCAACCGTTTCTTGTTTCTATAACAATGCCTCTTTTTTCAAAATGCTGACCTACAATTAGAATCGCAACCTCGTTTACAGTTGGAGTGTTAAAACGGCCAGGATGTTGTTTATTTGGTTTTCTGTCAGCGTTAATGACGATTTTAAAATTTTCATCAGGCTGTCTCTCCATTGCCACTTTGAAACTTTAAACATAGTTGTTGTGTAGGTGCAGCATATTTTGTAGCTCATCATCGATATCTAGTCTTAAATTAGGATAAATAGCGCAACGTTGGTTTATTTGTGATTCCATGCCAGCCATGAAATATATTTGCAGGAACTTTGGCTGATTACCGGCAGGTGTAAACAAGGATCCGGCCAAATGATAACATTGTCCCTGAATTTTTTAAGTTGGCATGAAATGACCTTCAGATACAATATGGGCTCCAAATGAAGTCATTTGAACTGCATTATTGTATGTTCGGGTGGCTTGTAGAAACTCTTTACTACGACTGTTTGTTCCACGTAAAAGGCCATTCAATGGTTCAGGTAGTTGTAATGATTCCAGTTTTACTTTGCCATTAGCAGCAGCACATCCCAGGAGATTCTCCCTTCCATCTGAGAGCGTGGCAGTGAATACATTCGACTGACATGGAACCAAAAGCAAGACAGGAGTCGGTTTGATATGCAAAATAGGGGTTGTAATGGAATGCAGATTTTTCTTTATTTTTCCATCGCATTTGAATGTGTTCCTTTGCTTGAGACAGCCTTTCTTGTCTAGTGTAATTTGACTGTCAATCTGTTCCGATGAGTACTTTCTCTCTGCTTTGTGAGCCTTATGCTTCTTTCTTCTTTAGCCTCCTGGTCCCTGGCCCTCGAACTCCTTTCCCACATACGTTGCAATCTAGAATTTGATTCATCTTGAGTTTCCTCATCTCTAGCCTTTGCACTCCTCTTACGCTTATCTTCAAGCCTAATACATCTTTCTTCCTCTGTCTCTATGTCTCTGGCCATCATTTTCTTTTCTTATCACTCTCCAATCTTCTTTCAGCATGTAAGCCTCGTACTGTTGAGACAGCATACATTCCTCATTACCTCCGTTGGAAATGAAGTTTCTGTAATGATAATAATTTGCCACGATGTAGCGGATAACTTCATAGCGGACACTAATAGAAAAACTTTCAGTCCCAAACAGTGCTCGACTGAGCAAATTAAAGAGACATGCACTGTCCCCTGTCACCGGCATAACTTAAAAATCTGCTGCTTGCCCATCAAAAAAAGACGTTTTCTCTCCATTTAACGTGTAAGCTGAAAAATTTATGTATTTGAAGTAGAAAGGCTTTGAAATGGACAAATCGTACTGGAGGGTGTGTGAGAACAGACACCAAGCTCCAAACAGTACGCTAGGTGTTATTGTAGACGGTGAAATAATGTGAACAATCCCGAAGTAGACAATGACCTATAGTAAGCAGGAGCAGGTCTGCCAAGCCCCTCCACAAAATACGTGAAAATGAATGTCTTCCTAGGCCCTGAAAGAGGTTTGCTGTTATAAAACACAATCAAATCGCAGATATCAGATTTTCAAAGCTGTTCTGAGGGCTATTATGGCGGCCATTTGTGCGGGAAACATGGCCTACGCGGAGGGTTGGGGGGAGGATTACGTCAGCAGGCACACTGCGTCACGCTGCCGCGCGCGGGTGACGTGACAGAGATGTGACGTCACCGCTCACTTGCGTGCAAAATATATTCATTATTGCGCCCCCCCCCAAAAAATATACAAAAGTCTATTTTTTTCTAATTTTTGCATGGTGTACAGTCTGCAAAGTACCCACATGTCAAATTTCAAGTTTGTTGCATGTCAGGAAGTACGCTAAACGTTTTGAACAGACAAACATATTCACAAATTTCCCTTTTATATATAGATTTACCATCTGTATAATTATTAGTGCTATTACCGATACTCCAATGAAGCCCTCATATATTGCTCATACAAAAAAAATAATGCTGTTGCGAACACATCCCCCATAGATACAATGGTATAATGACCCCTTTTAGCACCGATTCGATTTGCACTCACTTCTCCAGGAACGCATCTTGAGATTTTTCCAAAACGGAGGTACTTTGCAAACCTACTGGCTACCTTCAGAGATTTGTTCATGAAGCCATCCAGATATATAAACACAGACACAACTTTTTAGTAACGCCTGCTATATATGGTAGTGTGATGGTTTTGATCGGTGTATCAAGTAGTTGTTTCTGTATGGAGGGAGAAACAGCTTGGCAGATGGTACGGTCAGAGTATCCGTTCCTTTTGAGGGACAGATGTACATGTTTTAATTCACTGGTCAGGTGGTGTTGGTCCGAAATGCAATGAGCCCTGTGGTATAACGTTTTGATGAGATAATTATTTTGCGTCGGGTGGTGGTAGGAATCAGGTTTAAAGTAGGAATCTGTGTGGGTGGGTTTCCTGTAGACAGAATGTCCCAATGAGCCATCAGGTCACCTCTCAAACAGAACATCCAAGAATGGCGGCTTGCCATCTTTCTCCACTTCCATGGTGAATTTGATGGCGGGGTGTCTGGAATTGATGGGGTCTTGGAAAAGGTTCAAAGCTGGGAGGCCATGTGGCCAAATGACGAAAGTGTCGTCTACATATCTCTTCCACAGGGAAGGTCTGAGGGTGGAAGTCTAAATTTCAAGTAGTGGTATACCAATCATATTCCTTCCGAACTTTCTATTAAACCCTTTTTTGCTACTCCCCCCCTTACAGCACATTCTTGCCGATTTGAATTTTTCCTATTTTCCATTTCTATTGCACACACACAGTGACCCATCACCCTCTACACAACAAAAAGACGGATTAACTCAGCCCCGCACCCCACCAAGGTCCCCTACATGGCTCCTCACACCCCCCCCCTTAACCTAAATTTAAGCTTTTCTATTTCCCCTGTTTTCTACTCCCCCCGTTACAGCAAATTCTTGCCGATTAATTTCTTCGTTTCTATTGCACACACACAGTGACCCATCCCCCGCACCCTCGACACAACAAAAGCATGCTAATCCCCCAGTTACATGCTAGTTTTCTGACTTTAATACCCTGCTGCTTCAATGCTAAATTCTCCTGTTTGATATGTAAACTCCTTTGTCAAGGTGCTCTGCTCCTCCCACCGAGCTTAAAAGATGATGCGAATCTTAGCAGCGTTTATTGAAGTGCTGTCGTCCTGACAGTTCTGTTCCTTCACCTGAAGAAGACCACTTGTGTCGTGGCCGAAACGTTGTGATTTGTTGTTTTATTTTTTACCTACGTGACTTTACCGAATAGAACCAAAGAGTATGGATCCTTGCAGTCACGAAAGCTTCAAATCTAGAAAAGCTCTTATAGCCGTTCAGGAGACCTCAGTTAAATAGTACAAAGCAGCAGCGACTCACTCGTACACAATTAGAGGTGAGTGAGCAGTGAAGGGCCTAACGTCACAGAAGTCACAGCTCAAGCTCACGGCTTGCAGGCCCTGCCCTGGTGTAGAGGGATCCCAAATACTTGCTCATGCACTGCCCTGATGACACCTGGATGATTGTAACGCGTGCCACCCACGAGGGTACCAAGCCAAGCATGTCTCTCTTGCAGTGCCCCACCTTCCTTGACGTTGTCCTCGTTAATCTTGATGTACTTATCGCGGTCTCTGCGGCAGTGCTCGTGCTGGAAGCCGAGCGCGTGCATGAGCTCGTGCAGAACCGTTCCCTTGGTCACCTTCCCGGGCTCCAGGGACAAGGACTGGGCCCCTCCCTTCTTGCCCAGGAACGACCAGCTCCTGCTCACACAGCACCCAGGGTTTATTGTGAGCAATGCACACGTGGTGACAGCAGAATAAACAATGCACACGGAGCCACCGCAAAACAAGGAAGTGATCCTAACTCGGCACCAGCGCCTCAGCGTGCTTGGCAAGGCAATGTTGAATAATCCTGCTCCGACACCACTTGTGCATCCTTCCAATCCTGTAGCACCTGTCCTGTGGTCCAAACAGTTGTGATTAATTGATTATATGAATCATATAGGGCAGTTTGTAGACCAGCATCAACCTCTCTCAACAGTTCGTTTGGAGTTCATCTCTGCTCGGTATTTTTCCTGATCTCAGGCTCTGGATCGCCATTCGCACTTCCTCAACAAATTGCACATTAGCCAGTCAATCACAAGGGGTGCTAGCTTCCTCAAATATTTGAGGCATGACAGCCCCAACAGGGTGAAGCACACTTTGCCCCATGATGTTATCTGGGCCGAGGGGTTTTTCCTTTCCCAAGACTTCACAGAAACGCTCAGCAAACCTGCAAACTTGTTAAAGATGGTGATTTGAGTGGCGGTGCAAGTTACTTTTTTAAATGTATGATCACTTGCAATTGAGGCAGATTCCATCTCCTCAGCAATCCACAACCACCACTCATCTTTGCAGTGCTGCACAGTTCTGTGAAGCTCTGAGCGAAGGCTGTGGTAAGCCTCCTCATTCTCCTAGGTGGCATGTTGTAGACAGTGGGAGTGGGCCTGTCGCTTTCTCTCAGATAGCTGGAAGACCTCCTCTGTCAGTCAGGGTCTCTGGGAAGTCTGGACTGCATACCAAATCTAGCCATTGCAGCTGCATGAGCCACAATCTTCAACCTCACCCATTTCATCTCAGAATCTGGTATAGGGGGGACGATTGCAAACCCAGCTGAAAGTGATGATGAAATTCTCGCTAGTAACTTTCATCAGCTAGACAAGACCAGGCCACTGTGGGTTTAAATGGGGTTCAAGGTGGAAACCCACCATCGCAGTGTAAGAATCGTAGGCGCATTTTACAGATGACAAGCCAATGGTCAGTGTGCAGATCAGCTCCACAGTAGGACCTGGTGTCGAGGTCATGGATGCGCATCCGATGTTTCGTCATGATGTTGTGTTGATATGCCAATGTTGGAAGAGAGTGTTGGTGATTACAAACCCATCGGCTGCACACAAATCTAGAAACCTCCTACTGTGATTAAGCTGATCTGGCCCATGCCTTCCAATCACTCCAACACATCATGACCCACTCAGGCATGAAAGTCACCCAATAGGATAACTATCTCGAGGGCAAAAATTAATTTGTACATCTAACAGGAGGTTATAGAAGACAACTGACTCACCGACCTTGTAGACACAAAGATAAATATGCCCCGTATATCCTTAACATACTCTATGGGCAAGTGCTGTTCGTGAGCACCTATGAAGGCCGGCATGGCAGAGGGGGTGGGTGGCCAGCACCACACCCGGCTGCCTTTGGCTCACTAGTGCAATGTTTACACACCGCACCAGGTACTAATTTGAGGCTGAGTTGATCTAGCAGAGTCCCAGGACCGGTTAAGATAATCATCACTGGCGTTGGCCATGAGTGGGAATCGAACCCGAGTCGCCAGGTTAGTAGCGCAGCGCGCTAACCACTATGCTGCTGCTCCCCACACAACCGCCATTTGCCACGAAGTGATGGTGATGTCACCACAGTGCTTGTGCCAGACTATGTGCACTTTAAGGCCACACAGACACACACAACTTCGCACACATATACATAAACACACTGCCATGCACAAAACAGACATATAACAATATACACATACAAGATAGGTGTACACAAACTTCTACACATATAAACATTACACACTAACTTACATATTATAAACTTGATTTTAAGCTTTCGTGACTGCAGGAATTACTCTTTGGTTCTTTCAGTAAAGTCACGTAGAAAGAAAATAAAAGAAATAATAGAATACGACGTTTCGATTGCAGCACAAGCAACCGTCATCGGGTGTGAATGCAAACTCGGAGAGATACATATACAGAGAGAGAGAGACAAACACAACAACAACCGCCATTCGCCACTAAGTGGTGGTGACGTCACCACGACGCTTGTGCCAAGCCATGTGCACCTTGAGGCCACGTGAAGTGTTGAACGCCTGCTGACAGGAGGTCACAGGGCAGACCCAGGTGCCACGGGTCGACTCACTAAGATGACTGGCTGATGCACCACCTGTGCCCCCTACTGTGCCAACCTGCTGTGCTTTAGCCACCCGGCACTCCGCTCGTTGTTGTGAGCGTCGCTCCTCCGCCCTCCGTTGTTGTTGGAGGGCGACTGCCTCCAACTGCCCAGTAGCGTCCTTCACGAGCCTCCTCCACAGAGGCCAATCTTGACACCGCTGGTACTAGTCATTGGCAAGTCCACTGAGCTCCGCGTCCTACTGTACCACATCACTCCATCTCTTCTCTATCCCGTGCCGCGCCCGTTTAGCCCCCTCGATCCGGCCGAACAAAAGCTGTCTCGGCATGCGGTGGCTGGGCATGCGGGCTACATGACCAAGCCAACGCAGCCTTGCCTGCCGGAGGAGCTCACCGATGGGACCTTGCCCAGATCTTTAAAAGATTTGTGAGCTCCTCACACAACCCAGCCTGGTTAAACCCAGGATGGATCATAGGCAGGCTAGCCTAAATGTTTCTAACAGGCGAAGATGTTCCATTAGAGGGGTTCACGTTTCGCAAGCGTAGAGAAGGGAGGGAATGACCATGGCCGAGAAGACCTGAAGCTTAGTGCGGAGCGACAGACCAGGTAGCTTCCACACAGCGTTACGCAACCTATGATACCATCAGGCCTACTGATGGTATCATAGGCTTTGACCAGGTCAATAAAGCAGAGATGTAGGTCTTGTTGGAATTCCCTACACCTCTGCTATAGCAGACAGACAGAAAATATGGCATCTGTGCAGGACCACCCTTTCCTGAAACCGCATTGGGGCTCCGCAAGCCTCTCCTCAGGGTGCCTGGCAAGGCGATGTTGAATAATCCTTTCCAGGACCTTTCCCGGCACACTGAGGAGTGAGATGCCCCTGTAGTTGTTACAGTCTGTGTGGTCCCCCTTCTTAAAGAGGGGGACCATGTTGTATACGGGCCTTTTTCCACAATTAATATCTATAAAAATATTTTCCGATATATACATATAGATCATTTTTTAAGGACAAAACCAAAATAAATTAATAAAATAGCCAGGCACACCAGAAGAAAAAGCTTGGCCAGCCGCCAACAAAGTATCAGCGAATCAGCGCTGAGAGCGCTCGAGCATCTCCACAGAGAAAACACGTGCAACGTGGCTCAACCAGCAGCGGAAAAGCTTGGACAGCCGCCAACAACTTCAGCAAACCAGCGACCAAGCGCGTGCGACTTGAGTCATACAGCAGTGGGGGAAACCTGCTGTCAGAGAGCCACCAACAACCTCAACAACGAGAGCGCGTGCGACTCGGCTCACTCAGCAGAAGAAAAACTTGACCTGTCGCCCGCGAGCGCAGCATCAAATACTACAGCAGCGGAAAGAGCGCGCGCCGGCGCAGCTCATCCAGCAGTGGAGGAAACTGCTGTCAGCGAACCAGCACGGGCGCATTCGCGCATCTTCAAGAAGAGGGAGCGCACGCCACCAGCGTGCCATCAGCACCAGCATCAGCACCAGCGCGTGCCAACAGCGTGCCACCAGCGTGCTACAGCACGCAACTTCGCGTCACCAGCGCTGAGAGGGCAGCGGCCCCGCACTCGACACCCATCATCGTGCGATGACGGCGAGCAGTGGACAGAAACTGTTGCAGCCGTTCGTATGTCCCCCCCTCCCCCACACTCTCCCCCTCACTCCCCCACCGTGCCGCAACACACAGGAAACACATTTTGGACACAAGAGATGCTAACCTCTGCCGCTGCTTTACGCAAAGAATTGAACCAGTGATAAAGAAGACACACGATACGCATATCGGGATAATCAAGAAGGGTTGCCACTCCAAGGTGGTGCATTAAAAATCAATTCATAAAGGAAAATACTGCTGTCATTGAGTTGCATAATAACCAATCGTCCTACTGTTAACAATGTGATAAGAATTGACTTGATGGTCTATGAATGGATGTGGTACTGTGTGGGCAATGTTTAAATACGAATTTACATTATAAGGTTAAGGTTTTGGTAGAATAGTTTGCATGCATTAATCTCTCTCTCAACAACCGATTGATGGCGTTACGTGACGGGAATTAACCACAGGTGCCGTTATCAAAGTGAAACAACGCAATCTTGATTGCATCATGTTAACACTGTGTTAAAATTCCAAGATCGAGAGTTTTCATATTATTTCAAAATTAAAGTTTAGCTAGAAAATAAAATTGATTAAAGCATAAAGGTTGCGTGTGATTCTTCCTGAAATTCTGCATAATATTGTTCTGCGAATGAGATCTGAATCTTGGGGACCTATCATAAGCACACAATCACCACACATAATCCATAACACACATAATCAATAAACGTTAAATCGAAGATAATCGTATCCTTATTGGTAATACGGAATTAAAGAGCAGAGTCGAATCGACTCTCTCTCATATATGCTCACAACACCTACAGAACTGCATACGATCAATTGCGTTATTCCAATTCATAACACAATCCTCGTCACCGAGGCTCGACCTGATAATCCATAACGACCTGCATTATCATAACCACGCCCACTCGCATAACTTAAAACGATTATCTATCGAATCAGCACAATTTATGTGCATAATTACACTAATTAACATAATTTCGGATAACTTATGCAAATTTTAAATTTCATTTAATTTTCATTATTTTCATCAATTTTCATAACACCTAAATATACAACCACCAGGACATCCTTCCAATCCTGCAGAACCTGTCCAGTGGTCCAGACTGTTGTTATGATGTCATATAGGGCAGTCTGTGCACAAATGCCACCCTCCCTCAGCATGTCGCTTGGGAGATCATCTCTACCCGGTGCCTTTCCTGGTCTCAGACTCCGGATCACCCTCAGTACTTCCTCAACAGATGGCACCTCAGCCAGCCACTCACAGGGGGTGACTTCTTCCAATATTTGAGGCACTGCAGCCTCAGCAGGGTCATCCCCACTTTGTGCCACGATGTTTTCCTGGCTGAGTGATTTCCCCTCCCCCAGGACCTCACAGAAATGCTCAGCAAATCTGCAAACCTGTTCCTGGGGGTCGGAGATTGGATCACCGTTTTTCCCCTAATGATGGTAATAGGTGTGGCGCTGCAGATTACGTTTTTGATGGAGTTAAATAGAGATTTGTGATCACGGGCCACTGAGGAAGACTCCATCTCCTCAGCAACCCGCGACCACCACCCATCCTTGCAGCGCCTCACGGCTCTCCGAACCTCCGAGCGAAGGCTACGGTAAGCCTCCTCATTCTCTGACGTGGGATTCTGTAGCTGATGACAGTGGGCCTGTCGCTTTTTTTCAACCATCCTGAACACCTCTTCTGTCAGCCAGGATCTCAGGGGAGGTCTGGACCGCGTACCCAAAGCAGCCATTGCAGCTGCATGAGTCACAGTCCAAAACCTCGCCCATTTACCCTCGACATCAGGAGTGGGGGACAATGCCAACCCCAGCCGCACGCGATGATGAAATTCTCGCTTGCAACTTTCATCAGATAACTGAGACCAGGCCACTTTAGGTTGGAATGGGGTCCTGGGTGTACACCCACCACCGGAGTGGAAGAATGGCAGGCGCATCTTACAGATGACTAGTCGATGGTCAGTGGGCAGATCAGCTCCACGGTAGGTCCTGGTGTCAAGGACATGGGCTCGTATCCGCTGGTCTGTCACTATATAGTCCAGCAGATGTTTTTGATTGGACCCGGCATGCATCCATTATGTTGTGTGGATGCGCCGATGCCGGAACAGCGTGTTGGTAATTACAAGCCCATGGGCTGCACAAAAATCTAGCAACCTCCTACCGTTGTTATTGAGCTGATCTGGCCCATGCCCTCCAATCACTCCAGACCAGGTGCCAGCATCATGACCAACTCGGGCATTGAAGTCACTCAACAAGATGACTCTATCCCGAGGGGCCACTTTAGCCAGCACCTGTGACAGCAGGTCATAGAAGGCATCTGACTCATCGGCTTTGCCTGCATCCCTCCACGGATGTTCGTCTTCGGTGGGGGCATAAGTAACCACGTTCACCACTTCTCGCCTCCCGTTGATGGGAAGGCGAGCCCAAAGTAGCCTGGGGCTTACAGCTTGCCACACCTCACCGCCACGCTCCCACACACCCTTCATTCTTTTGTTCAAAAGAAGAGCCACACCCTGTTGTTTGGCAGTCTGCTGCCCCGAGTAGAGGACAGTCCACCCCTCATGGTGGCAGGAGCCAGAACCGATCCACCGGACCTCCTGAATGCCACAGAGATCCAGGCGGTACCGGTCCAGCTCCCAACAGAGGAATGGCAGCCTCTCCTCCGCAGTGAGCGTTCGAACATTTAACGTGGCCACACGAAGTGGTTTTTCGTTGTTTCTGGAGGAGCCCCGAGGGTAGAGATTTAATCTCCTGGCTCCGCCAATTGGGGTTTGGTCCCCGGGGCCTCCGGCACAAGCTTATTAGTTATATATTAAAGTCGTGGTTTCGTGGTAATTTTTTGAAGGTGGAGGGGTTACCAGCCCCTCGCACCCGACCAGAGCCCCCGTTAAGCAACTGTGGTGGTCACATACGCCATGAGGGGAGGGGCCAATCGGAATTGGCCCTCTCCCCACAGCACTGTCCACGACAGAGTTGCCCGTCCGGCACCGCGAGGAGGTAGGGGGTTGTTTTGCCGACAAACACAGACATATAGAGACACACACGCAGAGAGAGACACACAGAGACACACAGAGAAACAACGCCTCTGTGGCGAGGTCTTATATATAGAGAGAGGGGGGTTGGGGCAGAGAAATTGTCATGTCCATGAGAGCAGCAGGGGGAGAGAAATTAGCATGTCAATGAGAGCGACAAGGGGAGAGAAATTGGAAGTTTGATAAAACAAACCTAGCAAACTTAGAGAGTGGCAGGAGGAGAGACATTAGCATGTCCATGAGAGCAGCAAGGGGAGAGAAATTAGAAGTTTGAGAAAGAAAAAAAAACCTAGTAAACTTAGAAATGTAATGCAATACAACACAGAGACTCGGCTAACACAACAGTTAACACTTATCCTTGTTGATTACGTTCTTCCAAAGATTGCTGAATTTGAAGTTAAGTATGAGTTGTGTGGAAATACTCCCCGTACAGGTGGTTCAAACTTGATTTGAAGCTTTCGTGACTGCAGGAATTACTCTTTGGTCCTTTCGGTAAAGTCATGTAGAAAGAAAATAAAATAAATAATATAATACAATGTTTCGATTGCAACACAAGCAACTGTCATCAGGTGTGAATGCAAGCTCGGAACAAGACACATATACAGAGAGAGAGACAAACACAGACACGGAGAGAGACATACACAGAGAGAGACAAACACACAGAGAGACAACATAGAGAGACACATCGAGAGACACACAGAGACACACAGAGAAACAACGCATCTGTGACGAGGTCTTATATATAGCTTTGTATTTGCTAAAAATGTATTAAATGAACTATAATCATAAATAATAATTGTTATTCTAATACAACTGTAGTGGGCTCAAATAGGCGCTCACACCTTCTTGGGAGGCAACACTCTTTATTAACACAAACACATTACATAGGGTGGTAACCACCGTCCTACTCTGACACACACCGTCACTTTTTAGCACTGCCTCTCAGATACACTAGCGTGACCCAGCGAGGTGGGCTACTGGCGGGCCCACTGACTGGAGGCTTGACTCTTCTTGGCGTCTTCACGATGCATCTTCATTCTTGATACGGGCAGCCTCGAACCTGGTGAGGAGGCTGCTTATATGGGCCCCAGCGTGCCCGGGCCTCACCCCGGTCACGCCTTCCTTCGAGAACCCTCTCGAAGCCTCCCTGCTGTCCACGTTCCCCCCAAGGTGCCTCCCGGGCCCCCAAGGTGCTCCCCGGGCCCCCAAGGTGCCCCCCAGGCTCCCAAGGGTGCCCTCCGGGCCCTTGGCCACGACCTCACACCACCCCCGTGGCCTCCCGAGTCCAGGACCGGCCCTGACGTCATTCCTACCTCCAGCCGGGATGACGTCATGTGTGTGTGTAGACCTGCGTGGTAGTGACGCTCCCCCGCATAGTTACATCACACGTGTGCGTGTGTGTGTACACAGTAGTGACGCTACTGGTCACTACACAACTTTAACCTATATAAAGCCTGAGGCCTAGGTCTATACAAGGGCTGACAGCCATGCCTCACCTCAGTCCTCACCCTAGGAACATAAACATGAAAGGCTGCATAAAGCGAGGGTGGCGAATTATTCATTTATTTTGGTCAGTGTTGAAGAATACTGATACAAGACGACAAACACACCTACACCATGCACAACTAGACAAACCGACTGATATACAGGCAGCATACACATACACAGGTACACCTACACAAATGCCTACAGCACAAAAGATCCCCCGTATAGCCTGTAATAGACTGTTGGGCAAGTGCTATTAGCGAGCACCTATGATGGCTGTCACAGCACACGAGGGGGTGGGTGGCCAGCACCACGCCCGGCCGCCTTTGTCTCCCCAGTGGCGATGTTTACACACCACACCAAGTACTCATTTGAGACTGAGTCGACCTAGAGGAGGCCCAGGACCAGTTCAAATAATCGTACTGGTGTTGGCCGTGATCGGGAATCGAACCCGGGTCGCCGGGTTCGTAGCGCAGCACGCTAACTGCTACACAACCGCTTCTGCCTACAGCACATACAGTAAACACAGGTACACCTACACTCACACCTACAGCAAACACACACACATAACAGCACCCACTCACCCGTCCAGTGCCTGGAAGTTGATGTAATTATCCTCCTGTGTTCTAGGAGTGAACCTGATGCACGTTTTGTCGCGGAATTCCTGGAAGGCTTGCTCAATGGTCCTCTTGTCACAGGAGCCTGATAAAACAGTGCCATGTATGGATGAAGCCATTACATTTGACAAGTTAATATTTCTATAGTTAACAAGATGAAACTGATGTTTTCAATGAAGTGGGAAGAACAATCAAACAACATAAGATTTGAACATGCAACAACTAAACTAGACAATGTGGCAAGAGCATACGGAATGGAAATAAAGCAGAGAAAATGAAACTCCATCTGCTGTACCAATCCTTACTGGTGGAGAGGAACTGGAACGTGTACAATAATTAACGTATCCCAGAAGCACCGTCACTGAAGCCGGGTGATCGGACACCGGAAGTGAAAGCAAGGCCAGAAATTGCAGCAGCAGCACGGGCAACATTAAAAGTAACAAGAACAGGAACATAAATTTTGCGCCAGTCAGAGATCCGTTCTCTGAGAACAACTGTCGTCTCCACAGCACAACTGTCATCTCAGTAACTGAGCAATTTAAGCCTGGATAGCGCTTGGATGGGTGACCACCATGCACACCTGGTCATCATAGGCAGTTTTGCGGTTGTGCTACATCTTGCACAGCGGAGTGTAGTGCTGTACTCTGATTCTCTGATCCCACGAATCATTTTCCCGCCTTCACCAGGGTGGTGGTGTGTGGTCAAATAACCCCCATGACCTGCATGGCGTGGGGAGGCCCTCATCCAGCAGTAAAGGCACAAAAACAGTCATAATTGTACGTACACATTTCTAAATTGATATTAACGAATATACATTCACAAGGCAATGGTGTGCATAATTAACCAAATATGTTCGATTATTCCAGATATTTATAATCGAGTAACTACAGTCAATGGATGGATCAGCCAAGCAGATTGGCTGCTGCTGAAGGTTTTACATGATGCAGGAAGTGTTTTATCTGTTGCGTAACGTGGGCGTTCTTGCTTCCAAGCAGCAGCTTTCTGCAGACGGCTGTTTCCATAGCGAGACGCTTGCAACGCATCCCAATTAGAGGCAGACGCTGGCACGGCCTTGCGTGGTCATGCAAGCACAAGGGAGGGGGCTTGGGGTTGAACAGCGCCGCAGCCATGGCGCCTCCTCCGCACCGAGCATGCGGAACACGCGTGGGGCGTGTGGGGCCTCCCGTACACGAGTCACCCAACAAACACGATGTGCGAAGTGCCCCCACCCTGGGACAGGATTCCTACTCATATCCTGCCACGGACTCTGATGGATATGGATACAAATTATTCTGTATTGATTGGTTGACAAGTTGAGGGGCTTTGTAAGTTACGCTGAATCACATTTCTTGCACGGGCACATTATTCATTATTATGCCAGAGATATTACCAATCTGCATTACAAGCAAACGCATACAAAATCTGTAATAGTTATCTGAGCTACCGGTCCAACATATATGTATTTATCATTGTAGCTGAGCACAGGCCCAAAGGGCCAAAACACCAAGCGGCCAGCAGTAAACAGCAAGACTGAAGTTGTAACAGACAAGAGTTAATACATTTATTGGATTGAGCAGGGTAATAATAAATTTAGAAATTAACGATGCATCTTCTTTGGTTCTTTCGGTAAAGTCACGTAGAACGAGTATAAAATAATAAAATAAAATAAGACAATAAAATTCTCACCAGTTGCTGTATGATTAATAGCTCAGCTTATTGAAGAATATATTAAGTACATTTATTATATTGATGTGATATAGACTTCGTTTTATCACATCGGTTTACTTTATGATAGATTCATACAACAACAAAATCCAGAATCTGCTCAACGATGGAAGATACTCAAAAATTAAAAATGACCCTACTAATAGCCTAGCGATAAAAACCAACAAGATCATCACAAGTTCGACCTCCCTAATCGACCCAAATAAACGTCCCTCCCTAAAACCTTCTGCTGCAAGACCCCCTAGATTCTATGGTCTTCCCAAGATTAATAAAGAAGGCACCCCACTACGACCCATCGTATCCACGATCAACTCCCCTACCTATAGACTAGCCCGTTTTCTGTCAGACACCTTGCTGCTTTTCACTGGCAAGACCGCCTCAGCAGTACTTAACTCAGCCCAATTGGTCTCTATGGTCAAAGACGTTGTACTGTCCCCTGACGATTTCCTTGTCAGCTTCGATGTGGTCTCTTTGTTCACCAAGGTCCCAGTACCTGATACCATTGAAATAATTGAAAATTTGGTCCAACATGGACTAGACCCCGATACACCTGCACTGGTTAGGTACTGCCTCAACAATACCTACTTTACTTGGAATGGCTCCTTCTACAAACAAAATGAGGGTACCCCCATGGGATCCCCCTTGTCACCAGTGATAGCCAATATTTTCATGGAGAAATTTGAATCAGACGCCATCCAGACTTCCACCCTCAGACCTTCACTGTGGAAGAGATATGTAGACGACACTTTCGTCATTTGGCCACATGGCCTCCCGGCTTTGAACTTTTTCCTAGACCACATTAATTCCAGACACCCCGCCATAAAATTCACCATGGAAGTGGAGAAAGATGGCAAGCTGCCATTCTTGGATGTTCTGTTTGAGAGGAGACCTGATGGCTCATTGGGACATTCTGTCTACAGGAAACCCACCCACACAGATTCCTACTTGAAACCTGATTCCCACCACCACCCGACGCAAAATAATTCTTTCATCAAAACGTTATACCACAGGGCTCATTGTATTTCGGACCAACACCACTTGACCAGTGAATTAAAACATGTGCATCTGGCCCTCAAAAGGAATGGATACTCTGACCGTACCATCCGCCAAGCTGTTTCTCCCTCCATACAGAAACAACCACTTGATACTCCGATCAAAACCATCACACTGCCATATATAGCAGGCGATACTAAAAAGATCTCCAAAATTCTAAACAAACACAAGATCCTGGTCCGGTTCAATACAGTACACAAAATCCGTGACCTGATCCCTTCCGTGAAGGATGTTATTCCTGACTTACAGTATCCCGGAGTTTACAGATTGATCTGCACCTGTGGTGACTGCTATATCGGGGAGACGAAACGACATGTCTCTGATCGAATTCGCGAGCACAAATCAGATTTGAAACACGGCAGAACGAATTCTTCTGCCGTAGCTGATCACTGTTACAATGCTGTGGGTGATCACGATATAGTTTTCTCCGATACCAAGGTTCTCTGCAAACCCACGGGTTTTTTTTATCAGAGATTTGTCCACGAGGCAATTCAGATTTACAAACACAGACACAATTTCAACCGAGAAGATGGTTTCAAATTAAGCAACCATTGGAAAGATGTTCTAAATCGAACCAAACATTAAACTAATTTTCAATGGTACAGTATATTTTTTCAAGTAGTGGTATCCCAAACTTTCGCAGCTGCTTAAATTCCCTTTTCACACCATCAATATGTAAACTCCCCCTCCCCCCCTCGCCGGTCTGCGCATGTTCACCTCCTCTACACCGTTCACCATGCTAAGTCCGCCAATTGAATGCTAATTTTTACGCTAATTCCTTTGTCAAGGCACCTTAATTCCTCTCACACAAGCTTAAAGGTCGCGGTCTGAGCTTGGCTGTGTTCACTCCAGCGCTGTCCTCAAGACAGTCTGGTCCCTTCACCTGATGAAGGCCACTTGTGTTGTGGCCGAAACGTAGTGATTTTTGTTGTTTTATTTTTTACCTATGTGACTTTACCGAATAGAACCAAAGAGTATGGACCCTTGCAGTCACGAAACCTTCAAATCTAGAATTGATAGTTGGTTAGTTGGAGGCCTTTAGCGTCCATATACTAAATGCCTCTGTTGATATGTAAACTTTGACTTTAACACAGCTATTTCTGTCACAAGCTAACTCCTCTGCTATTTCAATGCTAAATTCTCGTGCTCTGATATGTAAACTCCTTTGTCAAGGCTCTTCACGCCTCTCACCGAGCTTAAAAAGACGCTGCGAATCTTAACAGCGTTAATTGAAGCTCTGTCGTCCCGACAGTTCTGTTCTTTCACCTTAAGAAGGCTACTTGTGTTGTGGCCGAAACGTCGTGAGAATTTTATTGTCTTATTTTATTTTATTATTTTATTCTCATTCTACGTGACTTTACCGAAAGAACCAAATAAGATGAATCCTTGCAGTCACGAAAGCTTTAAATCGAAAAATGAACGATGGTTGGGAATTCTGAAGTTGAGCCGTGCCAGGGAAGAATCCTCAAGGAAAACAAGAAAGAGAAATTAAAACAACTGAGACACGAACGATTAAATGTGTTCTGGAAAAATAATTGCTTAATTGCATGTGTAGTATTGTAAATAAAGGCAGACGATTTCTTGTCTTCTGTCCGGGCCACTTTATTACAGTGTGTTTACATAACACTTGTTTAGCTAAGCCAAGGATCCGTCGCCCGTGGCTCATTCGCTCCCTCACTCGCCACATCCCTATCCTATTCCCTACTCTCCTTCCCTATCCTATTCTCTACTCTCCTTGTTTCACCCCTCCCGGCTGCCGGCTCTTGCTGTCTCAGCGGGTTGACACCACGGCAGCCGCGGCGTTATGCGTGCCGACGTACAGACTGCACTCACGCCTTTAGCGTCCTACTCCTGATCTGTATGGGGCCCGTGTCTCGCTGTCTCAGTGGGTTGATACCACGGTAGCCCCAGGGGTCAAGCGTGCCGACGTACGGACTGTGCTTACCCCTAGCGACCCTATCCTAGCCTACCCAGGTCCACACAGGACTACTCTCGCCCAATAATACTCTAACTACCTTGGCGGGTCCGGCTTCAGCGTCTCTTGTCTTCTGTCTTCATCATACTGACTCTCGGGCTCGTTTTTCCCGCCTTATATATCCCTCGCGACCCCTTCCAGAACATTCTCCAGAAGAACCCTCGATGATTGGCAGATACCGGTCTTTTGAATTCCGGTCCACCTCCCTCCTTGTTTACCCCAACCGAATTACCCCAACGGTCATCCTGACCCTAGCTGCTCTTGACATCCCCGCGATAATGCTCACCAACCGCCTCTTCTGGCTACCCAGCGCAGACATACAGTCATTCTCG